ACCATAAATTACGCCAAAACGCAGTGAATGGTGATTTAGTAACGTGTCAAAACTGGCGAGATTTACGATGCATGTACTTTTCAGTAAATTTTATATACAATTAGCGGATGATATCATAGAAAAACGAATTTCAAACACTGTTTAGAACTGCAAATTGCATTTATCTGCGTGATGTATTTGGATATGTACTATCGATATCAAAGTGAAGGTGGAAGAGGAGGGACATATCGTACGATTTATGTAAGAACTTTAGTAACAAACGTAGAACGATATAGTGCATATAATATACGTTTTAGGTGTAATGAAAAAAGATACTGTTGGAAAGGCGACCGACTCAGGTTGAATATGTTATACAATTTGGTTACGTGTTAACACTTTTAGTACAATGTATACGTTTTTTCAAACTGCAACGTCATTACAGTGTAGAACTGACCACATAGTCAGCTGACGGCCAAGCAACAGGTGGATTAAAACAGTAGCCTGCGCATCGAGACACAAGAACCACACCTATACCTGCACCACGTGAAATGGGTCTAATAAGATCTGACGACGTCATTCGTTTATCGTTTGGGCACCAATGACGTCATTTCCAAGGGACATAAGCCATGGTGTGTTTATTGTGGACATAGAACTCTTGGTAAATGTTGAAAATATGAATTGATATAACGCAAAAAATAAATTAGTTACTTCTAATATATGTACAGGTTTGGATATAAAACTACTTGAAAAACACTTTTTATGATGAAAAAGTGCAGACAAAAAGGTTAATTTTCGTGTACACTTGCCCTTTAAAACTATTTGTTTATGTACACTGATGTTTTCATGACAGCGAATGTCCTAATATCATTATGGACTAATCCATGTTGTTTTTTGCTACACCTCGTCACAACTTAATTGAGGACGACAGTTTTGTGTGCTTTCATTGTCTGCTCCCATTAAACACACCCACCTAGAAATGAGATTATGGGGAGTACTGCACTCTACCGGGCGCACTTTTTCAGACTAATTAGCACTGCTGGGGTTCCCTAACCCTAACCCTTACCCCTAACCCTAAGGATCGTAAAGGGTGCCTAACCCCAAGGATCGTAAAGGGTGCCTAACCCCAAGGATAGTAAAGGGTGCCTAACCCTAAACCGTAACCCTAAGGATCGTAAAGCGTGCCTAACCCTAACCCTAAGGATCGTAAAGGGAGCAGCGAGGGCTGCGCCCCGGTAAAGTGCATTCTAGCCAGATTATGTCAACAAGATACAGCTAACTTCCAATAAATTGCCGACCAAATTTCTATCATACACACATGGAAACTACCGAAAACTATTTCTCAGTTTCACTTCCGGTTTGCTTCGTTAACCCTCGTACCATTATCACAATGAAATAATTATTGGTGAAATGTGTTTGCTTTGACTTGACATGAGTATGGTAACATGGTATTAAATTTCACTGTAGAAATTACATAATTGTAACGAAATATCATAAATAACAGATTTGAACTTTCCTACTTTGTATTTTTACACCAATGAAAAAATGAGGGTTGGTGTATGTATTTATTTATTTGAATTTTTTTACATGGATTGGTGTTTTTTGGCAACCAAACCTTGAGCAGTTCTTAGAACTATCCCACTGGCTTTAACCACTAAACCCTAAAAATATGTGAGATATACCATTACAAAACAACAATATTTACCAAATATTTTTCAGATTTTAGGGGAACTTTTACCCATGTCTTTTACTATCAAGTTATCATCATATATATCTGTAGATTATGAACATTGTTGAAAATAAATATGTATTTTGTTCTGGACTTGATGTCATCTCACTAAATGGAAAATTATACTTCATGAGAGTGGGAAAATAACCACCAAAAACTAGATTCATTGTATGAAGACTATATTAATTAATTTTTCAAATGATGTATTTCTTCTTTCAGTATCCCAATCCTGACCTTATCCTGAACCATTGTCTTTTGTTGGAGCCCTCCCCGCTTTCATACCGGTAACAAGGGATGAGTCTACTGTGTTTTCAGTTTAGATATAACCTGATCTTATTATCTAAACTGGAAACATGGTATGCTCTTCTCTTACATCAAATAACTGGTTAATACTGTCAAATTTAATTTTCTCACATCCTGTTTATGGATGAGAGTTTATCTCTGTTTGGCAACATTTATTATTTATCATATAATTATATATATTATTTCTTTTCATTTTAAAACATAAGCATGAAAAATGCACTTGTGTTATGATCTAGACTTGTATCATAAATGAAATATGAGCATGGATTGACTTTAGATTGTTTACTAAGGTAATTATTCACTATTTTCACTATTTTACACATGAATATTTGGATTCAAATAATGAATAGAAACTAGGTGTTGGTGATGACTGTATGGTCATTGTACTTTGTTTAGAGCATTAACAATGAACATTGTCATCTTCAGTGAATCATTAATGAACACTAGTCTTCAGATGGTGATGTGTGCCGATGAAACTGAATAAAATATATCAAAACCACATATCTGGTTTGTTGTTTCTTATTATGAGAGATAAAGCCTTATTACTTGCAGTAAATATTGTGTTGCAGTAGCTACAAATGTAGCAAATGGAAAGATCTACCTGCCTTCCAAATTTCATCAGGATATCTTCTTTATTAGAAATTTTATGTTAATTTTTGTGCGTGTCATTGGACCATAACATGGTGCCACATCTATTATGAGATGAAACATGACAAAATAGCAAAATTTGGATGATCTTTTGAGATAGAAAATGAAGGATTAATTGTTTTTAACTTCATTTATTGGGATAAAATAGTTGTTTTTAATCACATTAGCAATCTTGAACTGATTGTCAGTTATTTGCACACGTATTGTGACCATTCAAAGTTGGGCAATTTTGTCTATTCTTGGCCGTACAAATTCCTGTTTTTCCATGGTTTGACAGTATAAAGTTAAGAGTTTTAATACAAACAATTAGTTGATTATGAATGGTTTGTTTGAACACATTTTTTTCAGATGAATAATACATATTAAATAGAAAAAAACCTATTCAATCTTTTTCCCTGGCCCTTTTTAATCCCTTCATTGTGGCCAAACTGAATGGTGGCCATCTTGGAAAACAAAATGGCGGCTATATACACTAATAAAACATTCATATCTCAAAAAGTTTTAGACATAAATTAAAAAGGAAAAGTGCTTTTTACTCACTTATTCATGAACTGAAAGTGTGTGTACACTTCTGAGTAATAAAATGCATGTACAAAATTAGCCTGACCTCCCTAATTATAGTTTCTTAAAGCATGACACCATGACTGACGAAAACTCACGCACACCGACGATGGAAGTTCTCCTCATTTCTGACTATTTCCCTTGGCCACAATTATAACAAAAGAAAATAAGAACAAGCAGATTGTCAGAATGTTTCGGTCTACTTACACGTCACATTTATGTATATACGTTGCTTGAAACAACGAAATTTTCCGTCGAAAAATCCGGCATACTCATGTCAGTGGACACGCCATTTTGAGAATGTCGCTTCCGATAGTGATGTCATATGTACGTCAACATTGTTACACATATGTGGTATTTTCATCGAGGTGAGGCTATGAATGAAAATACACACGATCAATCTGTCCTGCTGTTTCATTTTCAGTTCTTATGCTTCTTTCGTACTTTCACAAACTTTTCTTGCGTTACTATTTTTCAGCATTATTAACTTTTGATTTGGGACAAGACAGGAGACCCGTCTAAATCAAGAGGCACCAATTACGTCATAATCAAAGGGAGGTAACTCTGGTCTGTTTAGCTCGGAAAACAAGGGCTGCATAATGGCATAACATTTCAGCCCTTATTTTGAGGGTTATACTTTCATTGCAAGAAAAATGAGTGTATAATTTCAAACATTGATACTAAATAAGTAAAATATTTCACTTTGCTTCACATAAGAATAAATGTGATTTTATCGTGTACACTTCCCTTTTAACTGGTTCCCGCACCTGGGTTGTGTTTACTATCACAACATTTTCTGTGTTTCCTCGGAGAGTAGACTGTCAGACAATTAGCAGGTATTTTACATTGCATGTGTTTCTTTGACAAGTACTGAAAAGGCACTCACAGTCAGCTGTGTCAAGCCATTCACTTTGTGCAATGCTCAATATTATGTTTTACACTATTTTATGTACTGGTCAAATTCAGACATCACCTATGTGGAAACGTTTGTGCTGTCATAGTACACATAAGTCCCACAACTTAAAACTAATCTCAGTTTGAAAATAAATCTTTCATTTTGATCAGTGTTATTCAAATTTCCAACTAAACTAGAGCTACTTGTTTATCATTAATGAAGATGGCGGCCATTTCACAAACAAAGGCCATAGCCTGAAAATATTCCCAGTGTGAATTGATTCAAGATTAAAATATGCATCACTACAGCAGAGACGCAGATAACTTTTTGGGTCATTGGGTCATTGAGTTATGTACTCACTTGTGTTCATCTCAATTGGGCCACATCTTTATTTTCCTTCAAGTAACCAAATAAAATGTACCCACCTCACTCAAAACTCAATTGGGTATTTTGCCATTTTCCATTAACTGTAAAAATATAATAAAGTTTAAATGTTGGTTTACGTGCTTGCTATTTATATTTGATCTGTAATATGAGAAATGACTGCAAGTTGCCAAGTTCATGTGCTGAAATAGAACCTCTCAATATACCTCAGTTATTCCACATACTTCTGTGTATTCATGTGTGTACGCATGTAAGATCACGTTTATTGAGTATTTACGAAAAATCAAGCGTACTTGTATGCAATAGACTTAATAGGAATTGAGTTTTCATATAAATATTTGCATAATTTACGGAGATACGCAGCTTATCTGTATCTCTGATACTGTATCTATGAAATAGCCTACCATCTGAGAATATATCAACAACACACAGACATACACGTGAATCAGGAGATCCTTAGTGGTGACATGTGATCCTCAGGTTGGATTTACAACCAGTGCCTACCTGCTCGCCTTTCTCCTTCGACACCTGTCGTCTGTCGTTCATATCACACTTGTTGCCCAAGATCATCTTCTCAACATCCTTCGACGCATGCTGCAACAATCAACATTCACAATAAAAATAAACGAGCAAATTCAAAAGATAATCTTGGTGAGGTAGTGAAATGGGGCACAATGTTGCATTCGAGGTAATTGTACTCACGTAGCAATGTGAACGTGTGTGAGGAAGGATAATATTACATGGATGGACAACGTCTTTAATGCAGTAAGAGCATTATCTCGGTGCAGGTTCTAACACCGTTATTAAGCAAGGGACTGACTGACTGAGTTTGGTTTTACGACGCTTTTAGCAATATTCCAGCAACATCACGGCGGGGGACACCAGAAATGGGCTTCACACATTGTGCCCATGTGGGGATTCGAACCCGGGTCTTCGGCGTGACCAGCCAACGCTTTAACCATTAGGCTACCCCACCGCCCCATCAAGCAAAGGAAGAACACACTGAGACCAGAGAAGCATATATACAAGCGTGAGGAGATGTTTATACCGTACAATAGGGGATTGGGACTGCAATGACATAGGGAAGCCAGTAACAACCAGAAAGTGTTTTTACTCGTAAAAGCAGATGTCTCCCCTTTCCCCCGATTCAACATTGAGACCTCAAACAATTCATTTGATCCCTTCAATTTCAAAATATCTAAGTATGAAAATACATATCATACATGTTTTATAGCAGTACATGTATATGTATATGGTTGATGCTTCTAAGCTCACTAATAATTGGTATTGGTATTAAGCATACAAAATTTGGTTGAAGATGGGTGAAGTGGGTTTAGAGTTGAGCTCTGAACACAAAGCCTTCCTTGCACATTTGATAGGCTCTATGCGTCATCGATGCACTGCTGTTCTCAATGCCGATGGTGGACATACCCGTTATTGAGCTTGTGACATGGTCGTTTGACCCCTGTCCTGCTTATGGACTCGTGACGTCATTGTGATTGACTTTTCAATTGAAATTCTCCTGACTTGTTATGGTCTCATGATCCCTCCATTAAAGTTTATATGTACCTTTGACATTGTTATCGTACTTATCAACTGGGATAATATTTTGACAATGCACAGTTTCTTTATGTGCCTAGTATAGTTGGAATATTGCTCAGTGCAGCTTTAAACAACAGACAAAGCATGGGTTGGTGAAAAACAATTCTAACCCGGATCTTCACGGGTTCCCAGCCTTCCAAACATGGGTGATATTCAAGTTGTAATGAGTCATGATTTCATGGCATTGAATCATTTCACTGATCACAAACCAATAAAGCTGAAGGGGCTTTAAAACAGTTTTTGTGAGAGATTGCATCCTTAGAGCCATCATGAATGGGGCTTTATCTACAATAAATGTCTGGCTGGGTTTCGTGCTGGCGGAAAGGAATGTCTACGTTCTTACCTCTTCTATGTTACGAATCCAATTTCGTATGTTTTCAAATGACTTTTCATTTGTGATGTCATACACCAGCATAATGCCCTGAAACACAAAGACGCAGTGAAAATAACATCCCCAAAATGTAGCCAAAATTATGCATCAAATACGACGGACACCACTATGAATAATGTGGTGTAAAACCAGTGTATGAAATACGGCCTGTCCGACAGCCAGAGACAGTCTAGATTTCTGACGGACGGTCTAAATTTACAGCTAGCCACCCTGATGGTCTGGTAAAAATTGTAGATCAGGGCTCCAGATAATTTTTCAACATCAAGAGTACGTACTCCTTATTTTTTCAATATAGGAGTACTGGAAAAACTTAAGAATACATTTAGAGTACTGAATGGAATTTAATGGAGTATCAGTATTCTTGTGTTTTGTTTCATATATGCACCACAACATTGCTACTAGTGTGTAAACAGGTCAATAAACAATAAAACAATACTTTTTTCAGATAAGTACGGCTGTAAATGATTCTGAGACCATACACCATTGCTGTGGTGCGTATCTGCTACGTTTTCTAATTATTTCCTACCGTATCCTGCATATTTTTTATCCGCACATACGCCGATACGGACCTTATCTGGAGCCCTGGTAGATGTTCCAAATATCTGGGTACATTCACCATATTTGGTCTGGTTAAATCTATTTTGGACTGGTAACATTTTGAAGTTACCAGCCCTGATGTCTGGCTGGGTTTTTGACTTATTTCATACACTGGTAAAACCCAGCATACACTACTGAATTGTACCAGGACAAGTCAGCGCAATGTTGGAGAAAGTCAGGGGTGATGCAGGTCTAGAGAGGTGTCGTATGGATCACAACTTCCTTTATTTCAAGAGTGCAATATTTGCGACATTTTTGTAGCTTCAACATGTCACAATCATTACAAAAAGGAGTTGTCATCCATAAAGTTTGTCAATATTGTACTTCCCAACTTCTAAAATGCCATATAAAGACGTCAAACCCAGTGTACACTACTGGATTCTAAGTCAGCTTATGGTGGGAGAAAGTCGGTGTGATGCATGTCTAGAGAGGTATCGTATCGGAGTACAAATGTCACTTTAAGAAGATTGTTAAGAAGAAAAAAGCAATATATAGTGCTTATGTTATGTGTGCTGGTACTATGAAGGCTAAATTGTTTTAAGCTTTAATGACTCCAACAGTCTACACTTACTACTACCCCTACAATGTCAAGTTTGTGTACATGTGTCTACATGGCACAGGATGCCCTATATGGATGGCTCTAGTTAAATGTTTAAACTCTGCCCTGTGAGGCTCACCATGGCCCCTCTGTAGTATGCTGTAGTGATGGTACGGAACCGCTCCTGGCCGGCGGTGTCCCTGAAACAAGAGACAAACTGATTGTGATGTCAGGGTGGCATTCAGGGGCAGTGGGGTGGCCTAGTGGTTAAGGCGTTCGCTTGACACACTGAAGGCCTGGTTTCAATTCCCCAGAAAGGTAGTTGGATGTAGTGATTGGATGAAGTGATTGGGTGTAGTGATTGGATGCAGTGATTGGGTGAGATGATTGGGTATGGTGATTGGGTGTGGTGATTGGGTATGGTGATAGTGTGTGGTGATAGTGTGTGGTGATTGGGTATGGTGATAGTGTGGTGATTGGGTGTGGTAATGGGATGTGTGTGGTGATTGGGTGTGGTGATTGGGTGTGGTGATTGGATGTGGTGATTGGGTTTGGTGATTTGGGTGTGGTGATTGGATGTGGTGATAATGTGTGGGGATTGATTGGATGTGGTGATAGTGTGTGGTGATTGGGTGTGGTGATAAGATGTGGTGATTGGGGTGTGGTGATGGTGATTAGGTGTGGTGATTGGGTATGGTGATAGTGTGGTGATTGTGGTGGTGTGGTGATAGGATGTGGTGATTGGGTGTGGTGATTGGGTGTGGTGATTGGATGTGGTGATTGGAGATTGGGTTTGGTGATTGGTTGTAGTGATAATGTGTGGTGATTGATTGGATGTGGTGATTGGGTTTGGTGATTGGTTGTGGTGATAGGATTTGGTGATAATGTTTGGTGATTGATTGGATGTGGTGATTGGGTGTGGTGATAGGATGTGGTGATTGGGTGTGGTGATTGGGTGTGGTGATTGGGTGTGGTGATTGGATGTGGTGGATTGGATGTGGTGATTGGTGTGGTGATATGGATGGTGATTGGGTGTGGTGATAGGATGTGGTGATTGGTGTGTGAAGGTGGATGTGGTGATAGGATGTGGTGATAATGTGTGGTGATGGTGATTGGATGTGGTGATTGGGTGTGGTGATAGTGTGATGTGGTGATTGGGTGTGGTGATTGGGTGTGGTGATTGGATGTGGTGATTGGGTGTGGTGATTGGGTGTAGTGATAGTGCAGTGGATTGGGTGGATGGGGTGATGGTGATGTGGGATTGGTGATTATGGTGATGGTGATTGGGTGTGGTGATTGGATGTGGTGATTGGGTGTGGTGATAGTGTGTGGTGATTGGAACATGGTGTGATGGTGTGTGATTGGGTGTGGTGATTGGGTATGGTGATTGGATGTGGTGATTGGGTGTGGTGATAGGATGTGGTGATGGTGATTGGGTGTGGTGACTGGATGTGGTGATTGGGTGTGATGATAGGATGTGGTGATTGGGTGTGGTGACTGGATGTGATCGGTGGGGTGGGGTAATTTGTATTGCTCAAAATAAAGTCTAAAAAGAAATTCATCCACAAATTATGTTTCTTAAAACAAAATGGCGGTGGGTCTGAAGGGAATTTTCTCTTATGTTATCTCTTCTGTATCCATGACAACAATTGACAGCAATTGAACATGGTAAGTAACATTAACGTCAGAATTCAGAAAATATGTACATCCACTCTCTCAACATAATCATCTGTCGTACAATGAGTGAGTGAGTATGGTTTAATGCCGCTTTTAGCAATATTCCAGCAATATCACGGTGGGGGACACCAGAAATGGGCTTCACACATTGCACCCATGTGGGGAATCGAACCCGGGCCTTCGGCGTGACGAGCGAACGCTTTAACCGCTAGGCTACCCCACCGCCCCCATCTGTCGTACAAAAGAACAATAGCACTACCTCTGTCTTTGTCTATGTTAAATTGTGGGAGTTACAATCACCTTGCCACTAAGACCGTTTCTTAGAATGGCACCTTGTATCATAATGCATTGCCAATGCTACCAAGTTAAGCAAGACTGGTTTGAATGGAATGGGCACTTACCATATCTGTAACTTGATCTTTTTACCATCAAGCTCGATAGTTCGAATTTTGAAGTCGATTCCTGAAAAACAAAACAAAGCAACAGTTAGGAGTAGTGCTGGAGCAGTTAATCGTAGGATCGGTTAATCGTCCGATCAAGTCAAAATATACGATTGTCAGTTACAAATAAACTGCAGATCGATAATCGGAAATAATTATTATTTGGATGCACACACATTAAAACGTTTATGCTACCTTGTCATGTTTTCTTTTTACCGAACACTCTGGTCATCATTGCTTGTTTACCTCTAAAACGGAAGCTGTGTACACAAGTGTGCATGCCTCCCCTGTCAGCCAATGGCAATGCTAGATATGTTTAGATTGGGGTGTCCCAAAAAGGTCACGTCAGGTATTACAGGTTAGCTATTTTCTAATTGGCTGAAAGAGGAATTGTAAATGTAAGTACCATATATTACCGTAGGTAAGCCAAATTTTGAAGACCAAAAAAGGCAGCCTGTAGAAGGCGGTCAGCTTATCTATGGGTTACACTTTTGTCAGTTTTTTTATTCTGGTGACCAGCAGTAAGAAAACAACATCGTATCGTTTCGCGTGAATGAACAAGAGAAACGACTTTGTCAGTGAAGACGTCCAATTTGCAATTAAACATCAGTAGACAAGATTATTTACCTTTACAGTTCAAATTTGTTTTTGCTCGGAATTGTATTATATGCAGGGATCAAGATTACCGTGTGTATTTGTCTCGTATATACAGCCGGAAATAGCAATTAGCTGTGCACACGTTTCCCGGCGATCTACCGGTGATTTAGAACATATGCAATAATATAGAAGAATTCTGACACAGTGATCAGTAAAATATAATACCTGTTAAAACCATTATTTAACCAAAAGAAATATATCCTAGAATTGCGTAATTTTAATTACAGGTTTTGTTCTATAAGTGTAAAATATGTATAATCAACACTAAGGTTATACGGACCCTCGTGAACATGGAATGCGTAAGTTGTATGCGCATGGAATGAGGTGAAATAAGCATGCCATTTCACACACGTTTTCACCGATGCTACCATTATCGATCTGACAAAATGGAACGATAACCAGTTCTAGTTAGGAGCTGTTACCATCACACACACTCTCACAAATCACATAACCAAGCCACCAAGTCTGACCAAAGTACCATCAAACACACTCAACCGAAGTACAATCACACACACTCAACCTGATAAAAACTACTATCAAACACACTTAACCTGATCAAAGCACCATTACACACACTCAACCTGCCCAAAGTACCATCGCACACACTCAACCAAAGTACCATCAAACACACTCAACCAAAGTACCATCAAACACACTCAAACCAAAGTATCATCAAACACACTCAAACCAAAGTACCATCAAACACACTCAACCAAAGTACCATCAAACACACTCAAACCAAAGTACCATCAAACACACTCAACCAAAGTACCATCAAACACACTCAAACCAAAGTACCATCACACTCACTCAAACCAAAGTACAATCGCACACTCAACCAAAGTACCATCGCACACACTCAACCAAAGTACCATCACACACACTCAACAGAAGTACCATCACATGCACTTAACCAAAGTACCATCTGACACTCAACCAAAGTACCATCACACACACTCAACCAAAGCACCATTGCACACTCAACCTGATAAAACTACTATCAAACACACTCAACCTTATCAAAGCACCATTACACACACTCAACCTGACCCAAGTACCATCACACACACTCAACCAAAGTACCATCTCACACTCAACACCAAAGTACCATCACACACACTCAACCAAAGTACCATCTCACACTCAACACCAAAGTACCATCACACACACTCAACCAAAGTACCATCACACACACTCAACCAAAGCACCATCTCACACACTCAACCAAAGCACCATCACACACACTCAACCAAAGCACCATCACACACACTCAACCAAAGTACCATCACACACTCAACCAAAGTACCATCACACACACTCAACCAAAGTACCATCACACTCAACCAAAGTACCATCACACACTCAACCAAAGCACCATCACACACACTCAACCAAAGTACCATCACACACTCAACCAAAGCACTACCATCACACACTCAACCAAAGTACCATCGCACACTCAACCAAAGTACCATCACACACACTCAACCAAAGTACCATCACACACTCAACCAAAGTACCATCACACACTCACACTCCAAAGTAGCACCATCTCACACACTCAACCAAAGTACCATCAAACACACACTCAACCAAAAGTACCATCTCACACTCAACCACCATCACACACACCAACCAAAGTACCATCACACACACTCAACCAAAGTACCATCGCACACTCAGCCACAGTACCATTACACACTCAACCAAAGTACCATCACACACTCAACCAAAGTACCATCACACACACTTAACCAAAGTACCATCGCACACACTCAACCAAAGTACCATCACACACACTCAACCAAAGCACCATCTCACACACTCAACCAAAGTACCATCACACACACTCAACCAAAGTACCATCTCACACTCAACCAAAGTACCATCACACACTCAACCAAAGTACCATCTCACACACTCAATCAAAGTACCATCGCACACTCAGCCACAGTACCATTGCACACTCAACCAAAGTACCATCCCACACACTCAACCAAAGTACCATCACACACACTCAACCTGATCAAAGTACCACCACACGCAGTCAACGGAGCCTGACCATAACTGACCACTCCTATGACAAAGAACAGAATGGTTTAGTTACATAAAGCGGAAGCGTCATTTCATCGTTGTAATCAGCCATAGATAGCTGAGGTTATCACACATCACATCAGGGTTGGGTCAGATTCGTGTCCACGTTGCTGACATCATACCAACTGGTACTAACTATACGCATGACGCACAGATCTCCATATAAGCTAGATATTGGCCAGAAAGACAGACTTAATCAATAGGGCTGGCTAAAAAGAGCAATAATTGAAAATATCATCAATAGAAAAAATTATTAATGATCATCAATAAGAAAAGAGTGTCATCGATAATACTGTACATAAATTTGTGAAAGAATAACATTTTTCTCACCATTATACAAAAAGTTAGATTTTCATTCATGGGTTGCTTCTAAATTCTGTTCAGGACACTGTTCTGTTAGTAGCCCCAAGCATAAACATGTCACCACTCACCGGTGGTGTGAAAAATATTCATTTCTTTCCAACTTTTTTTTTGCACTATTGCTGGAAGTTACTTCTCTGATATTAATCGATAATCAATCGTTATTTAATTAATGATTATTGATCTCTAAGATCTGTATTAATAGTCAGCCCTATTAATCACCATGTCATAATTTTACGTTGAATTGGTTGTGTGAAGATCGGGTTAGAATTGGTCTTCAGCAACCCATGTTTGTCATAAGAGGCGACTAACGGGATCGGGTGGTCAGACTTGCTGACTTGGTTGATGCATGTCATCGGTTCCCAATTGCGCACATCGATACTCATGATGTTGATCACTGGATTGTCTGGTCCAGACTCGATTGCTAACAGTATGCTGCCATAGAGCTGGAATATTGCAGCGATAAACAGCAAAGCAACCAAACAATGAGTTGGTTGTGTTCATACAAAATACAGTCGGGTTAGAACTCGTCTTCAGCAAACGTATGTTTGTCGTACGAAAAATGATTGATGCATGGTGGTCGGACCCATTGACATGAAGCTAAATCACTGCTCATGCTGTTAAATACTGGATGTCTGGTCAAGATTCGATTATTTACAGACTGCGGTCATATATAGTCATGTGACTGTGCAAAGTTTGATTTTGTTGCATGTATTAGATTTTGTGTTAGTGAGGAATTCATCGGTCTAAAATGAAGTCAAACGGACTGTAGCTCGAAATTGCTGAGTGCGGAGCTAAACAAGCTGATACAAATTATAAACATAACCCTGGCTATAGGAGCTATTGAGTTCAATTTTAACACCTAACATCTCATCCCATATTATTATTTCCATGGTCCTTACTGGAAATATGAAGATACTGTAACATTCAATAATTACAGACTTTTGTTTATCTTGCCAATAATTTGCAGTGTGGTTCCTAGGTTTTGGAAAATATGGGCCCACAGGACCCTACATGTATGAATTTAAGGGACACCAGAACAATTAGGGGTTTGAATATTTCAATCAGTATTATCTTGATCACCCCCATTTCCTAAAAACATATTTATCACATCTGCTATTTGACTGGCCTGCTCTCTGCCATGCCTACCAAGCTAAATATACAACAAATTATATCATTGGCTGATAAATAGTATTCACTCCGAAACTGACGCATGTTATGGAACGACATAAACAGTGTGTAGTTAGTTTGTCGAGTATTGCAAACGAAAAATATGTTTAAACACGAGTATAATCATGGCATATTAATAAAGTAATAGCTTTCTATGATGGTAAGTTTCTTTAGAAATAGGATGCACCATTAGGTACGCACTGTAGGAAATTTTATGCACCAAGAAAATAGTTTTTGCATGATACCCGCCAGCCCATGTTCACAACATTGATCTGGTACAGCGCACATATTTCTGTCTATGTCCATTTATACATCATGACATACTATATGCTCCCATCTGCATCGCTCAAAACCCATGACATTCATCCATTTCAAAAACTAAGAAAAAAAAAGTATGCTGATAACCCAAACAAACTTATCAATACCCTAATTTAATGATAACATGATCAAGTGACCAGGTAATCATAACATAACCTTGAGCCCTGGATACAGTGTGCATAACATGCACTTCAAATGCACACCAGACACTAACTTACTGATATTCCCTTTCAATGTCGATAATGGATCAGATATATGGTCAAAGTTGGCAAACCATAATTTCAAAACATTGTCAAGAGTGACTGACTGAGTTTAGTTTTACGCCGCTTTTAGCAATATTCCAGCAATATCACGGCCGGGGACACCAGAAATGGGCTTAACACATTGTGCCCATGTGGGGAATCGAACCCGGGCCTTGGGCGTGATGAGCCAACGCTTTAACCACTAGGCTACCCCACCGCCCCTGTCAAGAGTGAACTGTGGCACGTCTGAAAACACTCCATCAAATCTATCAAATGAATTCTAAACCAAATGGCTCAAGTGAGTGCTCACGTACTCAGGGCAGGGTTGGTTTCAACAAAATTATGGTTGGTTATTAACAACTCATGTGCTTGCTAAGGGGAGGTAACTTTAACTCATGTCTGAAACGAAACAGAGACAACTTGAGTACCCGCTAAGGGGAGGTAACTCAAATACATGCCCACTATGTTCACACCATCTATGCTGCAGGAGAGTGAGAGTGAGTTGGGTTCTACGCCGCTTTTAGCAAATATTCCAGCAATATCACGGCCGGGGGCACCAGAAATGGGCTTCAGGCTGCAGGAGAGAGTGAGTGTATGTACAAAATAGTATTTAGATGTTCAAGTATGAAAGACTGCGATTTCTGAGTCTGGGAAAATATCCTTGCCGGAACTACTCCATGGCTCAACAAAGTTTCTGTCCAGTATCTACTATCTTGATACATACAGAATAAATTGCAATGTAAACATTTTACCAAGTGCATTTTGTCAGGAAGCCCAGCTACCAACAAGTCATTCAGTGCACTGGCATCCAGCGAGTGAGACTGTGAGTGACTGTCCCCAGCTGGGTTGTGTTGAGTATATGCCTTGTTAAGTGTGGATTAACCTCTGTTCAGAAAACTGAGTGTAGAGTTGGCAGTATAAAAACCTTATATTTTACTTTAAAAATATTTACTTAAAATATCACGTTTATTCACGTCATGATGATGGATACATCACATTTCACAAAGTCGTTACGGCACAGGTCAACACGATACAACACCCGAGATTAGTATACAGTTTGGGGCTTATTTCATACACTGCCGTGTCCATCCTTAATTTTAACGATGAAGAAAAAGATATGTGTTCAGGTAACATGATTCATATAAAAGCCATGAAAGAAGGGTTCAGGAAGTGGTTTAGAGTTAGATTAGGGCCATGTAAAATGAAGTCTAAGAGGGGATATGGGTAGTGTGCGAAATAGTTTCCAAATCTTGCTAGCCAGTCGGACTAGCTATACCTGAAAGTTACTAGCCCACAAAATAATTCACTAGCCCGAAATTTGAATGTAGACAAGGGTTTCATCATTAAGCGGCTAACATGATGCACATTTTTATCACGCCATAATCTTGCATGATTTAAAGTGTATCATAACTTATAATAAGACTGACTGAGTTTGGTTTTACGCCGCTTTTAGCAATATTCCAGCAATATCACGGCGGGGGACACCAGAAATGGGCTTTACTCATTGTACCCATGTGGGGATTCGAACCCGGGTCTTCGGCGTGACGAGGCAACGCTTTAACCACTAGACTACCCCACCGCCCCTTATAATAAGAAGTCGAAGATAGTGAGATATTTAAAAAATAGACTCCATGAAAATTCACTAGCCAGACAGGCCAGTGACTGGAGATTTACTGGTCCGAAAGGACTTTTACTAGCCACAGGCTAGTGGACTAGTGGCTATTTCGCACCTCACTGTAATCCTTGCAGCCCTATACAAGCACGAATGTAATCTTTTTAATAGTTGATTATTCCACTTAGACTGCATATGATCATTTATAGGGGTTAAATGGTACACTCGTACCACAGTACGGTATATATTCCGGTACAAGGCCTTTGGTTCGGTCCGGTACAGTTCGGTATATGAGACATGATCATAATGCAGAAAGTTGACAACAAGAGCCAAACTTTACCTTGTTTAATAACATGGAAAAAAAATTAACCACAATCTTTGTTATTTTGAGTAACTAGATAGAAATGACGGTACTAAAACAGAAAATACCATATTTTTGGATTGCATTATGGTATACCGAACCGAAGGCAAAATACCACGATTTACCGTTTTGCTCCTAATCATTCATCGGTGTCTGTTCTGTAAAAATGGTTATGTCAACTGAACTCTGAACGGAGGGGTAAAGGGGTTCTTGTCATCTCAAGGGACTGCCTTGCCTCACAGAATCAGTGTATGTTAAAGTGTGTCCCTCTATCCACAATAACAGATACATTGTATACCTGCAGTGTCACTATATTCCCAATAACAATATTTGCCTGTATTGTCACTTTATACGGTAACAGATACAGAATGAGTTTGGTATATCACTTTTCACAATAGGCATGCCTATTCATAAAGGTTAGCAGTCTGGTCTTCACATTATGACACACAATACCAAAGTTAATAGAGGGCTTGAAAGAGTAAAAAGTAATTCATTCATGCTAATTGACCATGGGAAAGTTACTAGCCCACAAAATAATTCACTAGCCCGAAATTTGAATGTAGACAAGGGTTTCATCATTAAGCGGCTAACATGATGCACATTTTTATCACGCCATAATCTTGCATGATTTAAAGTGTATCATAACTTATAATAAGACTGACTGAGTTTGGTTTTACGCAGCATTTAGCAATATTCCAGCAACATCACGGGCGGGGGGACACCAGAAATGGGCTTCACACATTGTACCCATGTGGGGATTCGAACCCAGGTCTTCGGCGTGACGAGCCAACGCTTTAACCACTAGGCTACCCCACCGCCTCATGCTAATTGAACACAAACTGATCAATGGCAACAACTCGATTCATTGTTGCAATGGATTCCATATGATTAAACCAGGGATCCAGATAAGGGCCGTATCGGCGTATGTACGGCTACAAAATATGCAGGATACGGTAGGAAATAATTTAGAAAACGTAGCAGATACGCACCACAGCAATGGTGTACGGTCTTAGAATCACTTACAGACATATTTATCTGAAAAAAAGTATTGTTTTATTGTTTATTGACCTGTTTACACAAGAGTAGCAATGTTGTGGTGCATATATGAAACACAAGATTACTGATAGTCCATTAGCTTCCATTCAGTACTCTAAATGTACACTTAAGGTTTTCCAGTACTCAATATTGAAAAAATAAGGAGTACGTACTCCTGATGTTGAAAAATTATCTGGAGCCCTGTTAAACCTTAGATTGTGAGATCATCATTGTTTTTGTTTTGTTAATTTAGAATTAAAACTATCAATGCTACACCAATAACAACCAATCATAACCATCACAGGTAGGTGATCAAGACAACAAGTTTCATTTTGTGATATGTCAGCTTCTTAAATTGACACTGAACACATGAATAGTGTATTTCTTAAAGCAGGAATAAGATTAAGAAGTTTCAACTCTGCATTGAGGTTGTGACAGCCACATTCCTGAATACAAACAGATTTCAGACAAATATTAATTCGCAGCTCACGGGTAGATATACAGTGTATTATATACCAAGCATTATATTTCAGCTCACTCTCAACACTTCAGCTTTCCGTCGTCTCGCCAACAAAATAACTAAAGGTAAATATGTCAATATTTCTAGTGGTATGCAACTGGTCCGTGGTTTGATCAAGTGGCCATAACTTGTCACATAGGGTCTATTATACCAGTATGCCTCCCTCTATGACTACAAAATCGGATTTCGTGAAATCAGTAAACACGGAAGACATAAGGAATGAAAGTCGAATAAGCATACGTGTGACTAATTCAACGATGTCAGAGTAGAGCGTGAAATTTTTAGAATTTCTGACATCGGACATCAAAACTTTGAGACCCCGGGACCATCTGTGTGTACGTTCATACTGACTCACCTATCGTTGATATAAATGTAGAATTAAAGGCATCTTCTGAAAATCTGAATAATAAACACGTTTTTCCTACACCGGAGTCTCCAATCAGTAAAAGTTTGAAAAGATAGTCGTAAGTCTTCGCCATTTTGTCTGAACAGGAAACACCCTCATTTGCATAAATGACGGTGACGTATAAGAAAGTTCACTTCCGGTTTTCTGGGGGTCACGAGCAAATGAGTCAGCTGAGGTTTTTCATTGCGAATGTATGCAAGCGAGTCTATGCATTGTTAGAACGTGTTCCAGATAAGATAGTCAATGCATACCGTTACTATAAAAAGGGGGGTTATCAAGCTTCAGTGAGATAAGAGCAAATCACTGACTTCAAATACAGTTTATGTACATATATGACATTTTTGTTTGCAATTTAATCCGTAGAACTGACAGACTGAGTTTGGTTTTACGCCGCTTTTAGCAATATTCCAGCAATATCACGGCGAGGGACACCAGAAATGGGCTTCACTCATTGTACCCATGTGGGGATTCGAACCCGGGTCTTCGGCGTGACGAGCCAACGCTTTAACCACTAGACTACCCCACCGCCCCTTTAATCCGTAGAAACCCGTACATACGAAAACGCCGGGATATTTACAAAGACACCTTTAAAACGTTAAAAAAGGTCTGTTTGACAACTTTTGCTTTTATTACAAAAGTGAAATGGAAGTCTGACCATTAAGAGATGAACAGCGGCTGACTTTATTTTCTTTCAAATTTTATGAATATTTCATTAAAACAATCATCACAATGTGTATTTTTGTTTAAATAGACGTAGGGTTGGTAGTCGGCATGACCTTTTTTGCCGTGGTGTTAGTCTTATCTCTTAAACGTAATAGCGAGAGAAACACAGAAAAGAAAAGGAAGAGATTGTTACTGAGGTTAAACTGCTACATGCTCAATGTCTTCGTTAACATGCTCGACGAGAATAACAAATTTCAAATATGAAAATTCTGGATCTGCGTGGTTCCCAGGCACCCACAAAAATAACAATAATAATGAATTATCTTTAGAACTATGCTTATGATCGCCCAAAAGCTGAAAGGTCATTCCCTAGTTCGATGAAACGAGAAATGTTCACCTCACTAGTGTGTATAACATAACATGTTGTTACACCACATCTGTATATGTTGAAATTCAGTTTCATAATGTAATTCTTCCCGATGATTTCCCAGCATTCTTGTTTGGTTCTATGAATTTGTTATTGAGATCTGACATATGTACCGTATTTCCTCTCATAAGCGAGGGTCTATAATAAGCGCTGGGGATAAAGGAACTGTTCAAGAAATGATAATAAGCCTCTCTGCGCCGGGTCTGGAGTTCCGTTGAAAATATATGCGCCCCGGAAATGCGGTATTTTTATGTGGGTGGGGACATGTTAGCCACATGTGTTCGTACATCAACTTTGCAGAAGTAGGAGATTTCCTTAATAAGAAGAAATATTTTCACTTAACCAGTTTATGAATTAAGGCCTCTCCGACAGCCCGGGACGGGCCAGATTTCTGACGGACGGTCTAAATTTACCGCTAGCCAACCCGATGGTCTGACAAAAAATTTAGGTAACATGGTCCATATATCTGAGTAAATTCACCATATCTTAGAATCTATTTTTCATATTGAGTGTTACATTCAGACCTGACAAATTATTACTGTTTGAACACTGAACTATCGTATCGCAAGCTCGAAGCACGGCGTTGACGTATTATCACTGAAACAGCGACACCTATCTATGCGCGGAGTTGGATTTCTCTGAAAATGTCTGACGTGAATAGACAGTAACTACACATCTCAGGTTCATTAAATTATTCATTGAAACCAAAACTTGAGTTATTTTCTTTGGATTGTCTGATCTGGTAAAACTCAGTTTGGGTTGGTAACATTTTGAAGTTACCAGCCGTGATGTTTGACTGGGTTTTGGGCGTATTTCATACACTGACTTCACCCCAACACAGCCTACCGAAGTATTGGGATCAGATTGAACTACTTGATTGAAGGTCTTTCGGGTTCTTAGACATATCAGTTCAATTTCAATATCTTTATTCAATAGAAAGGCCTTAGGCCAAGTGCATAAACGAACGTTACAGTTTAATATATTGTACGTAAAGGTTCAATAATAGCTCACATGTAATCAGAGATATATGTATTGCTGTTTTCCAAAGAAATATCAAATGTTAAGCATTGATGTGACAAAGGTATATAACCTTTCTGATGAAGTTCGCTGGATATTTATGAAGAGTGAGTGAGTGAGTTTGTCTCTGTTTTATCATATAATACATAGATGAGTGAGTGAGTTTAGTTTTACGCTGCTTTTAGCAATATTCAAACAATATGGCGACTGGGGACACGAGGAATGGGCTTCACACCTTGTACCAATGTGGGGACTCGAAGCAAGGTATCATTTTCAGAAACTGGTAATCTAGACTTGCCACATATTGTAGACTTGCTACATATTCTAGACTTGCCACATATTCTAGACTTGCCACATATTCTAGACTTTGATGATACGCATCGTGTGCTTTCAAACTGCAGGTGTTACCAGGGAGAATAGATTATCCCTGGTGTTACTGAGAATTTGAAGTATTCTGTAAATTGCAAAACATATATGAAATGTGGTGAATGTTAGTGCATCCTATATTACGAGGGTCGGTCAAAATGTAGTCGGCAGCACCTAGAAAATGATACAGTTCAGATGTTTTTATGTTCTGTTTTTCTACATATAATCTATCAACCTCGCGCAAACTGGGTTTGCTCTGTTCCAGCCTCACCATTTCCATTTGTATTCACTTTTTATCTTGGTTAGCCCCCAAAACGAAAGATCTGCAATAAATGCATTACAAACTTCATGAAACAAAATATGCAAGAAACACTTTATGTGTTTGAGCAGGGAGAATAGAAGACTGTAGATTATCCCTGGTTTGAGGAAGGTAGAAGTCCACTAGAATCAAACGTAGATATTAAAGTGCATAAAAAAGCAATTTGACACTACAATTGCTTGTTAAAGTGACTCCCCCCTTCATGTTTACTGAAAGAGCTTGTTTTGGACTCACTGCCTACCCCCTTTCAGGTGACGTGATCATAATGATAAATATTCTAACGTTTTCACTTATTACATGATGCAAAAGGTTCAAACTAAATACTGAATGGTCACACAAGTGTCAGTTCATTCACTCACTCACTCACGTACATGTTTCATTTACTGCCCACTACTTGCCGCTGTTTGTGACCTGCTAACTGTCAACACTAATGCACCATCAGATGGCGTTTTGTCGACAGTGTGTCCATTTCCCATTATTTACAGTCTGACCGGTCTCTCTTATTGCATAGGTTATGGACTGCTACACAGGGGTGGGTATTGCAGAGAATTTTCATATTGCGATATATTGCGATGCGGAAGCATATATTGCGATATGTATTGCAATATATTGCAAGGATTATTTTTTAACAAAAACTACTTATAATCGAGTTAATGCTTGATTATAAGCAAAAACACAACAAAATCACTATGATTGATTAACCTTTTATAAAAATTTTAATCATGACAAAATATAAATGTAAGTAACATTTGGCACTAATGAAACAGGGAATAGAACGATTAATAAAACGGAAATATCCGAAGATTTCCGAGTGTTACGAAGTTTTCCGAATGCATGTCAAAATACCGGTTTTCGATCAGCGTATCGAAACACGTATCGTTTTCATGTCTGAACCGGTAACTACCGGTAAACCGGTTATATTGCGCAGCCCTACTGCTACATATACATGTAACACCGGCACATCAGGTGTTGTCTCCACTTGACCAATCAACACACGCCCTTCTATGTGCCTCTGCGAATATTTCTCAAACAACGTATATATGTAAAATGTAAATACCTGCACGCCATGTAACATATGTTATGTTTGGGATTACACTTTCTTTGTAAAGTACAGATTCTAGTACTTTTGTTGGCTTGCACGACATGTTTGGCAATGTGCTATAATCCTGAGCGGAGTAAACATTTGGCGTGT